AAAAAAGGAAGGCATGCAGTTCTTAATATAACATTAGACGAGGAGAAGGCGACTAATTCCCCGAATTACATCTTTCCTTGAAAGGGACTGTCTTATGTAATGTGACATAACACAAATGGGTCCTAAGTTAAAGGTTGGACTGTATTAAACCTCATTGTGTAACAGCGGTATACCTATTATTGTTGGGTCGGGTGAAAAAAAACCCCCATAGAACATTAAAATTAATCTACAGTAAGGACAAGAATATCATAGAGACTTATAGGAAACGCCCTACAAACACTACTCATGTTTCCCTCAAAGGGATAAAAAATTGTGTTAAATAAGCGAAACATTTTTATTTCTACTTATTCAGCCAACTACAAAACTCATCTCTTTTTTTGTACACACATCTCACATCTATCTGTCCCATTTCATTTTGTGATTATTCATCATTCAAACTCAAAACAGAGAACCTTAAGACCCTTTTTTAAGACCTGCACAAATAAAATGAATACCATATGAGTGGGGTAGGGCAATGTCTACGGTAACATATTAAACTGTAAAATTACTGTAAAAACATGATTTACAGTTCAGGTACAGGTTTTCACCAAAAAAAAGTTTTATAAAATTATAAACTTCACATTTTAGCATGTACACAATTTCTAAGAAAAGAGATGAGTCAAATTCAATCTCCTGCCAGCAGGTGGTGCTTTTGGAATGACAGAAATATAGCGGTTTCCCCAGTAGGACTGTAGCTGGGATTTGCGGGGCCCCGGTGCAGGTTGTACCCATGGGCCCTGTTTGAAATTGTGTAAATAGCACAAATAAATAAATAAAACAAAGATACAAATTAAACAATGTTTAAGTTTTTTTCAAGTTTGTAGGTGTCCAGGTACAGAAACTAAATAATCAAATGTAAAATATCATTGCACAGTCTTCACTGTATAAATTCAATATAGATTAATCCTTGTTAAAACCTCAAAGTAATTCAGTAAAGAGCTGTGAGTGATTTTCTCTCATTTGATTTCTTGGATTAACATTAAGGACACCGACAGCAGCTAGTAAATTAGGCGCGGCCACTTTAAGAGACAATGCATCCAATATAATGATACACATCCAATTTCTTTCCAAACTGTTTACGTTCACATAAACGACAGTTCTTTTCGAAGATACTTGCCATAATTTTGTATGTATCTGTTGGTTCAAGAGCAAGGAGAGGCAAAACTCTGCACGGGTGCTGAATTAAGCTTCTTGCATCTTTTTATGTTTGTATGTTTAAACTGGAGAGATTTATTTGTTCGTTCAGGTGCAGGAGGATGCGAAAGAAAGCTCGGTTCGGTGTTTGCGCGATGTCTGTGAGACATGGCTCTCTGTGTGGCTGAAATGGCCGGGGGCCCCCCTCAGCTGTAGTCCTCTATAATCGTCATCACCTTTCACCCCACTAGCGACAGCCCTGTTCCCCGGGAATCGCAGTCCACAAAGCAGCACTGTACATGACTTTGAAACATGCAGCGCTCATTTTTAATAAATTAAATCATAGCCTCTGTTAAGCAATTTCGCAATTCTTCAATTTCCGTCCTCAAATTTAAGACCTCTTGAAAACAAAATTAAGACTTTCTTGTGCCATTTAAGACTTTTTATGGGCTTAAATTTGATACAACTAAGACTTTTTGAAGACCCGTGAAAGCCCTGTAATAATTAATTATGGCAAGTAAAACAAATACAAACTTCATTTTAAACAATATCTTCTCAAACATTTCTGAAATTAAAACTGAATGTTTATTATACATTAACAAAGCTGCGTGTTGGATCCTGAAAAGTTGTGCTGCCGCACTCAATATGTGGCCCTGGACCACAAAACCAGTCATAAGGGTACATTTTTTTTAAATTGAGATTTCTACAACATATTCAATCTGATTAAATATGCTTTCCATTGATGTATGGTTTGTTAGGATAGGACAATATTTGGCTGAGATACGACTATTTGAAAATCTGGAATCTGAGGGTGCAAAAAAAGTAAAATATTGAGAAAATCACCTTTAAAGATGTCCAAATGAAGGTCTTAGCAATGCATATTACTAATCAAAATTTAAGTTTTGATATTTTACGGTAGGAAATTTTTGTGGTCCAGGGTCACATATGTCAAAGCATTTTGGCCACAGAAATATTGGCTAATATATTGATCTATGACTCCTTAATATGTAGTGAAAGAACATTGTTATGGATAATAAACTTCACGTAAAATGGAAAACAAGGAAACAGTATACAACAATATTCATCCACTGTCGATCAGCCTTCATACAAATCAAAGGAAAAAACAAAGGAAGAGACTTAAGACTTGTAAGGACAACAAATTATGTTTTCCACAACTGCTAAATCATTTATTTTTTATTTGGATAGTTATTTCTCAAATAGAAGGGTTAACAACAACCGTGAGACTGAATTATTATTATTATTATTAAGAGAATGTGTCATGTGTAATGGATATTTCGTGTTTTGCGCTCTGTCAAACGTCTTCAGCACAGAATATGAGACAGAGCATTCTGATTATCCTCATTTAACTGTTGTATATAGAGTTCGGGACACAAATAGTTTCACAAAAATCAAGTCTGCTGGAGATCAAATATTAAAGAAATGCTGCCACCTTCTGGTGACAGATCATAGTGTAGTGTAGTCAAACTCAAGAGTCATCTCAACTGCTATACATTATCCATGCATCCTTACATTTAAAGGTGATAACTGGTTTTGTCTCAGAATGGAATTTAATTGTATACGGATGTGACCACTGAAGAACTTTGAGTATAGTGACTTGTTAACTTTGTGTTGATTAGTTTAGGCTTAAACTTTTAACAAACCCTCACTGTATACGCATACTTCTCCTTGTTTCCAAATCAATCTGTTTAGTCTCTGCCCCCGAATGCCACACAAAGATTATGGGATCAAAAATAGACCACAGGGTGTCAAAAAATAGCTCAATGAAACATAATTTTCCTTTTCGGTCACTGTCATACAGTAGTTTATCTCTCATGTGTTGACATGACTTTTGCATGATCTCTTATACTAGAACTATGTGTCTGGATTCTTTGGTTGACTCTCTGACTAGCAGCATGTCACTATTTTAAGCCTTTGTTTGGAGCAATACAGATAAATGTACGAGAAAAATCAATGACTCAAGTTAACGCGTCAAGGCACCAAATATAGACTTCATTTATGTTTGGCTTTAGATTGTTACTATAGCTTGAATGAAATAATATCAGTGCCATTTTTTTAGCTGAAGGAAAAGAATAATAAAAACAGCTCTGTACTTCTAGACTATAATTCACACCGACCAATGCATGTACTAAATGCAACCAAATGCATTTTTATTAAAAAAACTGATTATAGAGTAGTATATAGTATCCTGATGTATGTCAGTATACATTTTCTTTCTAGCACGTCTGATGAATGTAATGTGTGATATATTGTATGTTTACAATGAACAGCTAATATTTTGAGTATATGCTAAGACAGTTTTTATTAAAATAATTTTGTAGAAAACCTGACTATTTTATTAAGTTTTACTTTAATTTAGATGGACTGTAACAAACCTCTAAGAAGTCGTTGGCATCTTGTTTAGTCTAACGAATGTAGTCATTAAATGCCAAAATAGAATATATATAAGCTGATGTTAGATTATTTAGTGTTTCTGATTTATATTGCACATGTACATGATATATTGCATGTCTGTGGAGATTCTCAGCAGGTAGATTAATGAATGTATAGTACTTTTTCAAGCTAAACTCACTTAACCAGTTTACAAAATAGAAAATAAATACTGTTGTAGGAAGCTTATAATTATTGTAATAATAAGAAGCACTTTTAACCATTCAAATGAACATGAGCCCTGGACTCTATACACCTTTGGCTGGTGAATCATTCATGGCTTTGCAGCGTATACTTCTGGTTTGCTACCGTTGTATGTTGTTGCCATATTGGAAAAATCATGGCTTAAATCAGTGGCCATAAAATATACCTTCAAAATATTTGCACTTTTAATATATTAAGAAGTAACTTGTTCTCTTATTTGCAATTATGTTTGTGTACACTGCAGTGATTCATAATTAAGCGCTCTCTCACAAATGTGTCAGTTTATTAATACAATAATTGTTACATAAAGTTATCAATTTATTGAGGCCATCAGGATTAAGTACATATCAACAGACAACAAACACTTAAATTCAAACATTCTTTAGTCATTTTTAAATATCTACTAATAAATGTTAGTTATTTTAAATACTCGTAAAGAGAAATTGTAACTCGTAATGCATTCACTGTCCTCAGACATCTGGTGCCACATGAGAATTTCATATTTACATAACATTTCACATACAGTTCTTACAAGATGTGCTTGACAATACTTTTTGAGGACTTTTCAGACTGCAGTACAATAAATGGTCCGACTGATTCTATTAAAAATACCAAACGAACATTTATAAAAACATATATCTGCCTAAAGCCTTTTATGTGTACGTTTTAGTACACGTTCAGTAAGCCCTCTGCGTGATTCATAAATGTTTTAATTCACTATAAGGAACCGACTCATTCGAGTCAGTCGTCCGGGAATCGGACTGCACCAGTCGCGCTGTATGTTGGTGATTCATTGCAAAGAATCGACTCAAAAGAGCCATCTTTTCGGGATTCGAATCACAGTGGTCAGAGTATTTTAGTAGTCTACTGTGTTCCATGTGCCTCGGATGCAAAACGTACGCTCAAAAACCATTAACTGATTAACATGATTTAATTATTACTCGGCTGTGGCATGTGTTCACGGAAGCAGTTCTCAGTCCCCAGTCCTATTTAAAACGAGCGTGTTTACTTACATATTGTCAGGTCGAAGCTGTGGTTCAGAGAATTATGCGTTAAACATAAGATTGTACCTACACATAAGCAGCGATAATGGTCAATAGTCAAAGATGGATCGGGTGGGAATCGCGAACTTTATCCCGTATGAATCATGTCTTCAAAGAGGCCGCCTCGCTCCGCAGAATCGCCTCTTGCTGACGTTTTTCGGGCTGTCATGTGATTAGCAGGGTTCAATGAGAGCTGTTTGCCCCACCCATCTCTTCAACGCTGTCTATCTCAATGTACAATTCACTGAGAAAAGGAAATAATCGCTAAAAATACACCCTCGAAAAGGATCCATTCGCCACAATTGGGGATTCAACGCGCTCCGTCCGTAGGGAATCCATCGCTGTCGTTGTGGTGTCGGATTTATCTTCACGTATCCAAATGCACATGATCTAAGAAGGATTCAAGAAGGATACTAAGCGTAGCCTGACAGCGGACTCGGGCTGCGATAACCGGTACGTTAAAATATCGACGGAATCGCTCGCGTTTGCATCTGCGGTTGAAAGAACCGTAAGGACCGCCGCTCGCGTCAAAGCAAAGCCTACGGATGTGAGGAGAAATCCAAATGACAGTAACGGAGAAGACGGCGAAGGGCCTCGTTTGATTTGGACAAGCCGAAAAAAAGCGATCAGTCACCGTAAGCAGAACAGGAGAGAAAATAGCGTCAATCTGAGGGGAATTTTTCAGCAGCACCGCCGTATTTTTCTCGCAGGCAACGTCGTTTCGTAACGGAGTTAAAAGGTTCATGTCGACCACGGCGCAGGGCGGAATGATCCACATGCCGTCATTTTGGTGGAAATATTTATTTTTTTAATTTGTAGCCACCCTTTCGGTCTCGTTCTGCCCGTGTCGTTGCATCGGCCAGCGGATTCGACAGCAAGAAACCGAAAAGAATCGCGTTTTGTGGAGCTATTCATGCTTTTAATAGGAGTCGCTCGTTATTTCGGGAAACCGACCATGGATTCGCGACGGGAAATGTGCTAAATCGCCGTCGTGGGAAAGCCGAAATCATTCATGTAACGTCGAAGGCTTCGCTGGATGCACATCCACACACAGAAATCTCCTATTTTATAGCAGCAAAGCGCTCGGCAGGACTCGGCCGTCTGTAGGCCGGCCTAGTGTTTTCACTACCACCACCTATTCTCGCCAGTACTAGTCACCCATAGCTTTCATATTTCCCCGTGCTCCCCTCCTGCCCTTATCAGCGAAATCCGGGGAAGCGATGTGCATACAAGTATAAATGTCCCGGTTTTCCATCAAAGTGTTCTGATCGGAGGCCAATCAAGGAATTTGGATCATTTATTCATACGGTAGATACACCTCCCACCCAACCCCACCCCAAAACTTTTCTTGGGTTTTTGGGAAAATGGGTTGTTTGGGCAACAGTAAGACTGAGGACCAGCGAAATGAGGAGAAGGCCCAGCGAGAAGCTAACAAAAAGATCGAGAAACAGCTCCAGAAAGACAAACAGATCTACAGAGCAACTCATCGACTACTACTGTTAGGTAGGTTGGTCTGAAAGCTGAGCTTCTGTCACTGCTGCGAACACTTTCCTGATGCGTGTGACGTCATCGGGGCCTGTCACGTTTCCTAGCGTTTTGTGTGAATTTGATTCATTTGTCCGAGTACACGATGGGGGTACACGCGTTTCGATTGGGATTCCTGGGCCGTAGTAGTGGACACCTCAGGGCCTGTGGTGCTTCATCCAACACCGCTCAATCACTCCATTCATTCCCATCTGATTTATGTTGACTAGGTTTTGCATTATGGAAATATTTGGACTCCCATGATTTTATCATTCACTCTCAACTATCTCATGTTGATCCCACACTCATAAGCATACACTTACAAATGGAAATGCTGTTTCTTTAGGCCGGTGTTCATGAGTTTAGGGTGGTTTCTGCATCCTGCTAAATTAGCAGCGTGCTTATTACTGTACATATAGATGGAAATAACTGTTTAAGTAAACATTTCTGAATCAAGATGTTTGGGAGATTAGTGCATCATTTTTAGGTTTAGTTCTGGTAAGGGTTGCTTGCATAGTGCTATTTTTATGGTTTAGCATTCTGGGCATGCCCAAAATGATAATAATAAGAGAGATGAGATACATATTTTTGTGCTTTACATTTGAAACAGAAACTGATTAGATCAGTTAACATATTTTTCATGCTTTAAATATTCATAGTTTAGTTGAGCAATAGACTGATGTATTAACCAAGCCGATGAACAGAAATGGTCATTTTGCCTGTTGTCTGTTCCAGAATTGTTATAGAATGATGGACTTTTTTGTTGTTGCTGAATTGAGTAATTAAAGTGAAAAATAATGAAGTTTATTTATATTCAGCAATTTTGTATATGTCTTATTTGCTTACATGAAACTGTAGTATGTTTATGTCAGCATTAAGCCGGTCACCCTGCTCTTTAGATATGGGCATTGGAGTTATTGGCCATTTAGAAAAAAAAAACATTGGTCTAACACCTTACTACCTTGAACCCGATAAAATCAGCAAGCGTTTTAATTTCATGGATCTATCGTAGCACGACATGAAGTTGTTTTAACTTCAGTTTGATTTGATTTAGTCTCTGTTTAAGAGACTGGTCTCGCTAATTCTGATAAATCCCAGTTTTCTAAGTCTATTTTTTCAGATATATACACGGCCTAAAAGTACCCTATTCTAAATCAAAATCCCATGTATTCAACATAGCAAAGCACTCTAAATCATAATGTCTGGTGTTTAAGGGATATTTCTAGAGATGCATGATTTAAGTGTGTTGTAATGATATATGATTTAGGGATGTGTACCAGTGTAATTGGAGCACACAAGTGGAATTCCTGTATGCAAACAGGCCTATCTGACACAATTGGAGCCTTGTAACAAAATATGTGTTGTGATAAAGACGTTCCCAACTTCCCATCATACATCTGAACTGAGCGCCTAAATCTGAGGTGTTTTGGTGCTTCTGTAAAGTTAGAGTATTTGAAAAATTAACTCTCTTCTCATATTTAGCACTTGGAAACTCGGACAACTGTGCATTGTTGACCATAAATTGTAGAATCATTCAGCTTTGTCAATGTTTGACAACTATGGCTCTAAGAGACGTTAGGTGGTGCTTCTGGATAGTTCCTTATGTTTTATTTTGCATTTCACCATTTAATTTGATGCATAGCTAACCAGTTCCTTTTTAGTTGGTTTACTTACAAGAGGATTGATTGGAGTGATATTGTTTATAATTTAATGAAAAATCAGAATCAAAGAAAGAAGCATCTTATAGAAATCTCGTGAGGTATGAAATATGGAAGCAACTGTAGAGTATTCATAATTTAAAAAATCTTAAATTGGCGACATTTTATTTGTGTACTAAAGGACAAAATTATGATATTCCATATAACATATTCTATGTGTTAAGTGTTGTGACATTATGACTTTTTTTTGCAGCTGTTGCACGTTTGCAACAATAATGTATTAATTTATAGATCGTTCTTTTTAGCTTTAGATTTTTAGCATGACATTTCTGCTTGAGGTGCATGTTTAGTTTGCCATTAAAAATAAATGCTACTGTGAAATTTAATTCATTATTCCTGTTGAATCAGGTGATATCGGACCCCATCCTCCTCCCACATCCCTTGTGATTTATATCTTTCTTTTGCTCGTCTCTCAGGGGCTGGAGAATCGGGGAAAAGCACCATAGTCAAACAGATGCGCATTTTACATGTCAATGGCTTCAATGCTGAGTAAGTATTGCTTTCACATCTATGTACTTTCTTGATTCCACTTAAGTCAAACACAAACTAGATTTTTATTGCGTCCATAAGCATATCCTACTGTCAAGTATGATATAGCATATAAACAAACCCTGTTTTCATTCATCATGCCATTTTGTTGGCAACGTGGTTTTGCTGTAATGTTTTTAAGTGAAAGTTGGGTTTGGGAGGATGTTGATATCCAAGTCGGTAATCCATGCGTAATGGCGTGCTTTGTCATTGTGTTGTTCTCTTGATTTAGTGGGACATGTTATATTTATAACTTTGGAGTATATGTATTTATTGTAAGTAAAATGCAGTGCTTTATTTAGTAATGTGACAGGACATTTTATTAATGTAGCATTATATTGCTCACTGAAAGTCCCATTATAATGAAAAGCTGACTTTCAATAAGTTTATTCAATAAGTAGTATTTACCATTATGAAATGTTTAGCAGCTGGTCTGAAACCAGTTTTGTGATTATTACTATAATTTGCTATACTCTAATCTAGTCCTCAATCAGTGTAGAAAGGGTGTCCAAAAATACTGCAGCGGTTACAGAAATATAGACCATCAGTATTTCGACACAGGTTAAAATTTCAATGCTGAAATAAGACAAAGGCAAATAATTGTTGCATGAATTAGTCAATAGAAACACTGTGATTGCAGCATCTGGAAAACAAGTTCTAATTTGATGATTAGAAAGCCAGGAGAAGTCAAGAAAAAAAGGATTAGTAATGCTACAGTGGTTTATGCTCTGTAATGTTACACATTTATGCTGTGGTAGATAGTATATTTGTGCAGTGGCCAGGACTACTTTATCTATAATGTTCTATACATGCATTTACTATAGTATTCAGTTAATGTAGGGTCACATGGTTGTATTTAGCTATTTTACAACAATATGAAGCAAATGCAGCTCATCCAATCATAATTCAGAGTTTGAACTGTCAGTTTTATAATATTAGTTATAATTCTTTAGTTTTTAACTCCAGTCTTACGTAATATGAAACTGAATCATTTTGCATCCATTATAGAGAAGAAAATAGAATGACAAAGTAGTTTATTGCGATGATACACTTTTAATTTGTAGGGTATTTACCTCACAGGATTATGGAAACACTTCAAAACACAGTTATTTAATTATTATAAATAACCTTATAAAATAATATAAAACCATAATGTATAAAATACTATAAAATCACAAATCTGTTGAATTTTCAGCAAAAATAACTTGTAATGTATTACCATGATGTACTGTAAATCGATTCATACTGTGATATAAAATAAAAAAAGGATTAGTAATGCTACAGTGGTTTATGCTCTGTAATGTTACACATTTATGCTGTGGTAGATAGTATATTTGTGCAGTGGCCAGGACTACTTTATCTATAATGTTCCATACATGCATTTACTATAGTATTCAGTTAATGTAGGGTCACATGGTTGTATTTAGCTATTTTACAACAATATGAAGCAAATGCAGCTCATCCAATCATAATTCAGAGTTTGAACTGTCAGTTTTATAATATTAGTTATAATTCTTTAGTTTTTAACTCCAGTCTTACGTAATATGAAACTGAATCATTTTGCATCCATTATAGAGAAGAAAATAGAATGACAAAGTAGTTTATTGCGATGATACACTTTTAATTTGTAGGGTATTTACCTCACAGGATTATGGAAACACTTCAAAACACAGTTATTTAATTATTATAAATAACCTTATAAAATAATATAAAACCATAATGTATAAAATACTATAAAATCACAAATCTGTTGAATTTTCAGCAAAAATAACTTGTAATGTATTACCATGATGTACTGTAAATCGATTCATACTGTGATATAAAAATTTGGTTTACCGTCCGCCCCTAAGTAGCATCAAGTTGCTTAATTCATACTGTTCACAAGATTACAGTTATTTCATTCATGTTGCCTGAAAATTAAGCGATCTGAAGTAACCAAGAGTCAATGTTTTACAGAGAGAAAAAACAGAAAATTCAAGACATCAAGAATAATATAAAAGAAGCTATAGAGGTAAGTGTTGAAGCTTCTTGAGTTGAACTAGTAATCAAAGGTGTAAAAACGTGAATGCACTGAAACTCTGATTGTCTTTTTTCCTTTACAGACTATTGTGACGGCAATGTCTGTGTTGGTACCTCCAGTCAAATTAGCCTGTCCCGCAAATAAGTTTCGAATTGATTACGTCCTCAATTTAGCCAATCAGAAGGACTTTGAATTCACACCGGTGAGTATAAAGTTATTGTGTCAACCCATCACCCCTGTTTTTTAATTTTTTTTCGGTGAGAGTGTGTGTACCATCTCAATATTTTTAGCTGGACATGCACAAGACTTACTTAGTTATGAAAAACATGACATTTTAAAAAGACCGATCAAGTTTAAAAGTAAAAATGGCGATTAAGTGTGTGAGCATAGTATGTACATCAAAAAAAAAATGGTGCACCTAGTTTTTGGGCTGAGTGTCATGGATGTTTGTGTCAGGCCCGTGTGTTTTGATGGTTCTCCTCAATCGTAGGGGCCTTGTGTGGTATATGCAATTAAAATTAGCAGCTATTCTTTGCTTAGGGACAACACATAGGTGAATTGAAAAAGCGCCCCACCTCAGGGAAATGTGGGTGTGTGAACGTGTGACTCTCAGGTATAATGGTGAGGCGTTCATTACGACTGATTACTTGTAATAACCTCTAAACTCTCCCTTAAGAGGGCCTCACCTGAGCCACACACCACCCAGGACCTCCCTGCTCCCTCATCACCTAGACAGGTGCTCTGTGTCTAGGGAACGAGGAGTGGAGAGCCTCCCTGACTTGCGCCAATGGGCCGCTTAAGATTTAATTACAGGTGATTCAAACTTGGTGGCCATATGGACTTAAAAATAGAGAACACGAACCAGCTCACAGCTCAACAGAATTTTTGACACCTGAAAATTGGATAGACGTACAATGACTGTTAAGCGGGATGCTGGTTTTTCTGTAAGCTACAGGATTGCAAGGATAGCTGCGTGATTCGGAGTTGATCGTTAACTGTTAAACTTCAGAATCGTGTGCAGGAAATGGTTGTAGTTTTCGCATTACTACAAAGAAGATACTGCCCCACCCTCCCTCCCTTCCTCTCTCTCTCTTTCTCTCTCTCTCTCTCTCCCTCTCCCTCAGTGGCACCAGGGCCTGCTGGGAACCAGTCTGACTGGTTGATTGTGTTGCAAGCGAGAGACAAAAATAAAAAGCAAACGCAATTATTGACATTTATAACTCAGTCATGCCACTTTAGGATATAAAGACCCATTGAAGTTTATAGAAGACTGCTATTTCAGCACTGTTACATGGCTGAGTTGTAATATTTCCATTAAAAAATAAATAAAAGCTTCTGTAGCTGTGAAGCTAACGAGCTAGGAGGAAACTGGTGAAGCGTATTAGCATAACAATTTTTAAATGGAGAGAAAGACAGAAGCTGAATAAAAAAAAAAAACACGTTAAACACATTACCCTTCACCTGAAGCGGTGTACGCCAGAGCTGGGCAAAGCAGCTAAAAATTATTTTTTTTACTTTTTCATCATGCATCTCAATATTATTAATTAATTTATATAATAAATATGAAATATAAAAACGTATAATTTGTTCTGAAATTTTTTTTTTCTCAGTAAGTGTGCATGTAAGACAAAAGTAAAAGCAAGGCTTTTTTTTTAAATCAAGGCATTGTTTTCCATACTATTGGTATTAGTCATTTTTATTTATATAATAATGCATCACAGTTTTAACCTACATATATATTTTACTGTCATATTTAATGTCAAATGTATCCGAATCAGAAGCTTATTCATCAAATCAGTCTTTCGGATAATATGGTTTAACTGACTCACAGAAGTGAATTTGAATGACCAACTCTTTGCATCTTTACAGCTTTACATTTCACATTCTGTAATGTAGTTGGTTTAAAATATTTATATTGCTTAAACCCAAAAATGAAAATTACACCATGATTTACTCACCCTCAAGCCATCCTAGGTGTATATGACATTCTTCTTTCAGACGAATACAATCTGAGTTATATTAAATAATGTCCAGGCTATTCCATGCTTTATAATGGGAGTGGATGATGTAGCACGTAGTAGTAGCAGCATGAGCTCCAGTGAGAATATGCTAGTTTCGCGAGAAACCAGTTTTGTTTACAGCAAAGGAAAACCAGTGTTCTCTTGGCTTATATCGAAATCCTCCGACATTTTTCTTTACAAATCCTCGTTTTGTACTACTAATTCGTGACCGGTGTTTTGTTTTGCTCTCTCCTCTGCGCTTCCACGCTCGTCACTTCCGCGTTCGTCACCACGCTTGCCTATGTCCTACATCATCCGCTGGACGCCACTCTCTCGTGAACGCATGTTAGCGGAAGCTAGAGATTAAGATTTATATATAAGATTTAAGTTGTAAATATGTTGTAAATAAGATAGTGTCCTATATCACAATATACTGTTATGATACAAAAATTCAGATACCCACAAAATAAATATTTAAGGTGAGAGCTGGTGGGTGGCGTGATTCTCAAGTGTGTGGCTCTTGTCCTACACATTTGAAAGCGTAGTGGCACTCCTTTTTAAAGGAGCTGTGCCAGAGTGAATGCTACCATTTCCAAACGAAGCCCCGTTCCTTGTCGGGACCACGGTGCCGGTCCTCCTTTGTCCTGTGCGGTGTGCACCAACCCGTTTGCTGTTCAGGTTCATGCCACCACATATAAGCAGCTTTGCAAGGTGTGTCCCGCTTCATGTCGTATTGGCTCAGATTGGAAGTTTTTCTTTTCGAACGCTCATTCATGCTTCACCACCATGTCTGGATAGCAGTGGGCGGTCAGAATCGTTTAGTTCTGTCTTGAACTCCATAAATGTGGCTTTTGTTATACATGAACTGCGTACGTTGTTTGGTGTTTATATATGTCATCCAAAAGGAGACAGCAGAAGAGCTGAGTCAATGCGTATAATGTTAATATCTACAACATAGCTTGTAAAAAAAGTTATTTATTTTGGCTTTATATCTTTTTTTTCCTGGTTCATCAAGAGTCGATGAAATCCTAATTCGGACACCGAATTCCTCCTTCGGGTTGGAAATCGATAATTTTTTAGTAAACACCTTGCAATGTATTCGCAGACATGAGTCACACGACATTGCTAGTTTGAAAAACACATTTTTTTGTTGCCAGTAATTCTATACAATTTATTTTAGATTTTGTAATTATTGTCCTGTTGAAATCTGAAATTTGAAACAATTTGACAGCTGTTAATAGTAGGGTTGGGTACCGAAACCGCACCGGTACCTATGTAACCGGTATGTGCTAGAACCGAATCAGAATGCAGATTTCGGTGCCTCATTTCGGTGCCACTTAAATGCCTGAGCGATCGATTGAAATATTTGTCCTGGTTCTCCGAAATGGACGTAAGAAGCATCGGCGTCGCTAGGCCATTTTTAGTGGGGCTATAGCGATTAGCTCCATAAACTGTACACAAAATTGTGATCGCCTCAGAGTCAGTCCCCTTTTAAATTTCATATGAAAACGGCGGCAGACTTCATCTCCTCCCTGTCTTTCAGCGCGCTCTTCAATCCGCAGACCGCGGTGGTGCAGCGCGAGCGGACTCAAACAGAAACAGAGGACACAAGGTGTGTGTTTATCGATAGATTGTTATAATATCTGTATCTGTGCAGTTCTTTGTCATAAATAGTTTACAAAAGGTCACGAGGGAGCAATCGGTTTCCATCAACTGTAAAGTTTTCGCTGCGTTCACCCCTCATCAGACCACAGCTGTTTCCTCCACAAAAATCTAGTCCTTAACACATATGAACGCATACTTTATAAAATGATCATGTTGCTATTTTCATTTGAAAATTTAATATTTAATATAAAACATATTACAGTGCATGTAGCATACCATACAGTAGGCCTGTCGCAATAATCAATATATCGACTTGTCGCGCAATATATGTACATGACCTCAATTATTTTTGGTGACGCAAAATATCGCCCATTATATTTACTTAAAAATTAATGTCACCATGTTTTGTACATTCCACTTGCGCCTGTGTCTTTGCAGCTTCTCGTATATAACGTGGTGTAGTCATGAGGTGCTAGTTCAAATTTAAATAATGCTTCTACAAAAAAAAGTTTCATCTGCAGATTTGATCTTGTTTAGGGATCTGTAATGCGGACATCTGACTGCTAAGTAGTGTGCACCCTTAATTTACAGAGAAAAGGTCAGAAAAATTTAGATGGAAAAATCTCCATACAAGTTCTTTGTGCATTTTTCTTTTTTTTTACTTGTTACTTTGCACTTTTTGTTAGAAATTTTTTATTTACTATTTATTCAGGTTTTTAAGGTATCTTATATTTTGATATTTAATTTCCATGATCTAAATATTCTTAAAAATTTAAAGTTTGTTGTCATTTGGAAGTGTGTAGGCCATTTTCATTTGAAAATTTAATATTTAATATAAAACATATTACAGTGCATGTAGCATACCATACAGTAGGCCTGTCGCAATAATCAATATATCGACTTGTCGCGCAATATATGTACATGACCTCAATTATTTTTGGTGACGCAAAATATCGCCCATTATATTTACTTAAAAATTAATGTCACCATGTTTTGTACATTCCACTTGCGCCTGTGTCTTTGCAGCTTCTCGTATATAACGTGGTGTAGTCATGAGGTGCTAGTTCAAATTTAAATAATGCTTCTACAAAAAAAAGTTTCATCTGCAGATTTGATCTTGTTTAGGGATCTGTAATGCGGACATCTGACTGCTAAGTAGTGTGCACCCTTAATTTACAGAGAAAAGGTCAGAAAAATTTAGATGGAAAAATCTCCATACAAGTTCTTTGTGCATTTTTCTTTTTTTTCTACTTGTTACTTTGCACTTTTTGTTAGAAAATGTTTATTTACTATTTATTCAAGTTTTTTAAGGTATCTAATATTTTGATACTTTAAATAATGCTTCTACAAAAAAAAGTTTCATCTGCAGATTTGATCTTGTTTAGGGATCTGTAATGCGGACATCTGACTGCTAAGTAGTGTGCACCCTTAATTTACAGAGAAAAGGTCAGAAAAATTTAGATGGAAAAATCTCCATACAAGTTCTTTGTGCATTTTTCTTTTTTTTTACTTGTTACTTTGCACTTTTTGTTAGAAATTTTTTATTTACTATTTATTCAGGTTTTTAAGGTATCTTATATTTTGATATTTAATTTCCATGATCTAAATATTCTTAAAAATTTAAAGTTTGTTGTCATTTGGAAGTGTGTAGGCCTTCTTGCATTACTATGCTGTTACATTATGATTATATATTCAGTGGATATAATGGTCTTTAATATGACAATAATATCGCTTATCGCAATTATTTCTGGGGCAATATATTGCACAACAAAAAGTTGTTATCGTGACAGACCTACCATACAGTCATTCACAGAACTGATTAAAGACAGTGACAGACAGCACTCAGTCAATTCACTAATTTTAACTAAATATCAGAGTGATTGACAGAGATACAGTAGAAACATTATGTGTGTTTTTGTATTAAATATTGTTTTGTATTAAATAATGACCCAGATCATGAAATACATTTATTAGCCTTCGAGTAAGGGAAGCACAACTCGGTAAATGAGAGCATCCGAGGAGCATGTGAATGCTATGTATATTTATTTTTTATATTTTTAATGTTCTTTAATGTTATCCATCGTTTTTTTGTGGCTCCTTTTTTAAAAGTATCGGTTCAGGCACCGGTAACGTTTTAAAAGTATCGATTAGGCACCGGTATCGTAAAAAACCCAATCGATACCCAACCCTAGTTAATAGACCCATTAAGGAATGAAAATCATTGTATTGGTACTGAATTTAAATCTGATATCTTTGCATGCAAAAATCCCAAATCCAAATTGGTTGTCCAGAATCTGTAACGGACCAATCAGTGGTGGTGTTTTTTTTATTTTTATACGGGTTAGCATTAGTGCTGGGCGGTATGACCAAAAATTTATATCACGGTATTTTTCTAAATTATACCGGTTTCGCGGTACATGACGGTATTTTTTTTTTTCCATGCATGACCGGGTGTTAACCATCTTTTCTACTGATTGAGAGGAAATACTGCAGTATATTGACTTAGAATGCCCTATTTTACTGTCATGATGAATGAATATTGTCAAAAAATACCACACTAAATAGTGACTAAACGACCCCTTTTAATACAAGTTAACCAGGAGTCACTCTCATTTATAATCGCGGCACCGTCTGATAAAATCAACATGCATCTACACTAAAGAGCGGCTATGCTGTTGTTTTGGCTATATTACTTTTTTGTCTCATGCAGCGCACTGCCTGCGTCTGAGTAACAAACTAAAAAAAACAATAAACAAAAAAGTGCATGTGATATTAACAGACGAACTACGCTCATATTTATAATTCCAAACAATTAGTAAGTGACAGGTGCTAGGAAACGCTGTTTTGTACTCATTTATTGACGAGTCGGCTGCGGTGC